GTGTGTGTGTGTGTGTGTATAAATAAATAAATAATTTTCAAACTGTTGATTACATTAATTGCTAATAGGCGATTAAATCAGCACTATAAAACAATAACGAATTAAATATCGCATTATCATTATCGGTCCAGGTTGTCAACTTATTGTCATAATAAAGAATATGGTTGACAAAACACTTTATTTACAAGGTTTAAGCAGTTCAAAATCTTTGTAACGCTATTTTCAGGTTTTGAAATGTTCAAACTTTGTAAGTAAAGTGCTTTGTCAGCTCTCTCCATTCATCCAATCTTGGGTATTTTTCCTATAATTTATACATGAATGGAAGTTTCTTGACACCCCCACCCCCCCTACCAGCTATCATCAGAGTCAGCCAAGAGCAACTATGTATGTGTTTGTAGATCTATGTATAGAGTTAGCACTTGTAATGTTCAGCATGTTTTAGTTATTGTGGGAAAGACTATATATGTACAAACATGTTTTATAACTCCTCGGCTGTTAAGAAGCCTGCCGTGTTGCCCCTAGATTATCATAATAGTAAATTATTGCATTGCTTCTATGATGGCCAAAACATGACTTGTTAGTGCCGGTACATTTAAGCCGCTTTCTTCGTGCCCCCACCCCTTTTTTTTTATGCTTTTGCTGCTCCATGAAGCAAGATGGAGCATGTTGGTTTGCCCCTTCTCGTACGTCCATCGTCTTTTCGTCGCGATCGTGTGGACGAGATATCCCAAGATTGGAGGGAGCTGACAAAACATTTTATTTAGGAAGTTCGAACATTTCAGAATACACTTATTCAGGAAAAATGTGAAAATAGTGTTACAAAGATTTTGAACTGTTCAAACCTTGTAAACCATCTTTGTCTTTATTATTAGACTTCGTTTTCCCCCCTCCTGAATCCACTGAATCGATGGATTTTGACCAAACTCGTACAGTAGGCACTAAATGCAAAATTTTAGACTGATTAACTTTTGAAGTTTAAAGATCAAGGTCAAAAGGTAACTGGTTCTTTTCTAACCTTGTGAGCACAATATTTCAATATTAACTTGATCTGATGAAGTCTGATGTTTTATTGTGGTTTAAAAGTAACTTTTACACAACTTGAACCAGTTATTGGTTGAAAAAATGCTTAAGCCATGTGATGCAGAAATTTTCTACTTAAAGCTTTTATTTTTAAAGAAACCGTTTTTGTAAGTAAATGTGTTATAGATAAGTTATCTATCATGACATTGACCAACATGTATCCACTTAGATAGCAAAAACAACCATATATACACAAAAAAAAAATTTTTAGGAGTAACAATTTAGTTTTATGAAATATCTGTCCTGAATATTTCATACTTGAACTAAATGTATAAATCTTAAATTTGCTTGTAAAAAAGAAATCACTAAAAAAATAACCCTAGAATTTAAATTGTTGCATTTTCTGCAAAAAAACAAAAAAAACTAACCTTGGTATGACTTTAACAAGTGTAGCTTTATTTCAACATTACACAGACACAGGTATGTACGTTGCTGTGTTGTTAGTATATACAATACCAGAAAAATGGCTTTGTTTTCCTTGCTTGTTGAAGTACTGTTTTTCTTTTTGAACACATCTCTAATCTTGATGACCTTGAAATCCTTTGGAACAAGGGATAGGAACTTGCAGAGAATCTAAACCTAAAACTTGAACTGGTACAGTACTGTATGTAAGTACATGTACTTTTCACCAAACGTAAACACATGCACACACACACGGATAGGACATTCAACTCCAGTCTCTTGTACACACCTCATCTCCCCTAATTTATAATTCCTCTTGTGTTCACTGCATTATTTATACCTAGAACACGTATTAATGCCCTCTTGGCTAAAGCTCTTGTAACAGTATAAAATGAAAGAAGAAAAAAACAAACTAACACTACTTTGTAATACAATATTAACTTTATTATATTAGAATATCCAGAGATAGGTTTTGAAATTGAAGAATTTGGTATTAGAACTCAATTGAATAAATTAATTCATAAACTTTGGCTGTAGTTTTGTACACGTTACATTGAGAAGAGTTCATAACATGTCTTGATTATTTGATGTAGACATATTTTAAATGGAACAGACAGTGCAACCACATCTTGAATGTTGTTGAGTAACAAGAAAATAACTTAGGCCTAACTGTAAAAAACTTGTTAGGTTTGTCAAAAAAAAAGATGTATATTGTATGTCACTGAAGTTTTTATAGAAGGAAAATGCCTATTAAACCCTCCAGCAAAGAAAAAAAACATTCCTCGACTTCTGTTTGCGGGTCTTCTTCGGTGAAAATATAGTACTTGAGAAAGAGGAAAATATAAAATTAGAAGTTATTAGTTTTTATTTATGTTGAAAAATTTAGTAAAGAAAAACAAACACAACTAAAAAAAAATTATCTTTGTTTCATTGCTACTGAGGAAAGCCGATTAAAATTGCAGTAATAGTTTAATATAGATGTAGATTTATAGTTTCAAAAGTACAGACTCTGATTTCCAAGAATGTAAAAAACATTGGACTATATTGCTGTATCTACTCTTGTTAAGATGGGGAACTGTGCTCCTCATATGTATATTTTCTTTACGATAATTGTGGTGCTAAAGTTTAATTAAAATTTTTTATCTGAGATTGTGTACTGAGACCAAACTCTATGTGAATTTAATGTTTCCAAGTCAATCTCACGAGGCAAGAAGAAGAAGAATGACGTGATTTCTTTGTCTAGCCCTTTTTTTTTTCTATCTGAGTGTATAATATATTAAATTATTCTTACTTTTAAGTCCTTAAAATACTTTTTGTTGTTGTTGTTATTCTGGATCTCAAATTTCATTTGTACAAACACTCTCCTAGTGGTACTAATTTGTTAAAAGCATCTACAAATCATAAGATTATTTATATGTATTAAATCTTGTTAGATATTAAAGCTTTTTATTCAATAAAATTGTTTTTGTGATACGGTATATAAAACGGGATTTTTGTGAGTAAGTGTGTTATAGATACGATATTTATCATGACATTGGTCAGCAAGTATCCACTCGGATAGCAAGAACATTCAGTGGATAAACTAAATTTTGATACTGGTTTCACAGACAAATACAAAATAAAAGATTTCATCGGTACGTGTTCTGCTTTAAAGAACTTCTTTCACCCTGTGTATTTCTCGTTTATATTTTTTACCTTTCAAGTATCAAGTGACATTGGTGATTTAAGTTTGGTTGCAAAATATACACCCACTAAACACTTCAAAGCTGGCTTGTTCTCTCTTGAAATGACGTC